ACATGTCAAACTTTATTCTCTTGCTTAAGGGCCACCAGTGACTTTGCACGCACTCAGAATAATTGCCTAACTCCTTATCCCCGACCTTATCCTGTATCACTCTCCCTTGGATTCATTGCATTCCAATCACGGGAGCGCAGCCCCTTCTTGGAAGCTTCATGGGCGTTGTGCTCTGTCCCCTCCACCTGAGATGCACTTTCCTTCTCTGCTGCTATTTTCTCTCTCCCATGCCCAGCTCTTGTCATCCATCACGACTTGGCTCTGTGTGACCTGCCTACTCCAACTAAGGTGACTTTCATTTGCTTTAGTCACTCTTTTATTCACTCTTCCAGCACTCTGCTTATTTTCTTCAGAGCTTGTTTTATGATCTAAATTATTTACTGGTGACTTGTTCACTTGGGACTCTCTCATTAGAATGTAAGCTCCATGAGGGAGGGTCTCAGTAACTGTTTTATCCTTGACACCCACTGTAGCACCTGCCTCAGTCTCCCGAAGCTGGAATTGCAGCGGGTATTGCAGTGGGTATTGAGAAAATACTTGCTGGACATAAAAAAAGATAGGGAGATGGGGAGATGGCAGCCACCCAATGACAGTCGAAGATGAGACATTATTTTCTGAGTACCTCTTTGGCCAATAGTTAAAAATCATAACCTTAAGAGGTCACTGCCATGAGAGCCTTTTTCAGATCCTGGACATCTGATGCATGCCTTGGAATAAACCTGGCATCTTGAATCATACCCTGTCCCCGAGGAGGAACAATGCTTGCCAAATGATCAAAACAATAAATCACCTGCACTCTCTTAGAGGCAATGACATAATTAAACCGGTCTGCTTTCTGAAGCTCCTGGAGGTCTGTGCTGGGTTTCCCAGGATCCTCAGCAGTCACTTGAAACCAAGCCTGACCATCACTTTTAGACCATCCTCCCTGTAATCATCCTGCAAGGCCAAGCATTCAAAGTCACAGACACAAGATTTCCAAAAACTTTAGACTCATTACAACCCCACATTTGTGCTTTTCAGTACCCCCTCATTTAAGAGCTACAGCATCTATTTAATTTTTTCCTGAACTAAAGAGAATCACAGTGAAGTGATTTTGAAAGCATTGCAGAGACTTTTGCCAATTTTCTTATGCTTGGTAACCAACCTCAGGTGTCAAAAGACCATCTCAAGGTCTTTTGACAATTTCATTAGTACTGAAGTTTGGTTTACCATTTTGTTTCATTTGGCCATATCAGGATGTTATTTTTCTTCCCTTTTTCACAATAGATCTTTAGCCAGGAAAATGTATTCCCAACCTCCCTTCAAGGAAGATTTTGCTTTTATTTTATTTTATTTTATTTTATTTTATTTTTTTAACTGGACTTTTTTGCATTTGGTTTCCTACGTTATGATAGCTTGCCACGTTTGTCTACATTTTATCCTTAAGTATTTAATCCATTTACAACTTGCTACTTTTATTGATAACAAAATGGAAATGTATTTGTCTTTTTCCTTTGAAACCCAGGAAGGATTTGTCAAATGTGATGTTAAAAAAAAAAAAAAAAAAAAAGCCAACTGTATCTGTTTGGCAAAGATTCTCTGCCACATTTGTGATTCTCCTCTCCAGTACTTTTCCTGGGACTGACAGATTTTTGGTCTATTTCACTGGCTGCTGTAATATATTCCCTTCCGAAGGCTCGTTCCCAGTGGTTTGGTAGGAAGTCTTCAAAGAATGAGTCATGGTAACTGGGAAGCAGAGCTCACACTTGGAGCCTCTAGCCTTGCACAGACCACTCACATACTCTACCTGTTAAAAAGAGCCAGGTAACTGATGTGGATACCTATTCATCCATCTAGAACAGAGATTATGAAACCTTTGTGAACACAATGTATGGCTGCTGTATCCAGGACTGTTTTTGTTATTCATTTACCTCTGGAGAATCTGTGTGTGTGTGTGTGTGTGTGTGTGT